ATCTTAAAATAAACTACATTTGTTTAAGAGATTTAAGAACAGTTAGACACAAAGATGATTTTCTTGTTTTACAGCAATTACCCCCAAAAGCTGTGCAATAACTGCAGTAAGTTCACCTCAGCCGAAGGCTCAAGTGATCTTTTTTGATCACATTTCGTCTAAATTTTGTCCGTTTGTCTGTAAACTTTTTTACATCTTCGACTTCATCTCAAGAATGACTCTGCCAATTTCAACCAAACTTGCCACAAAATATCTTTCGGTGTAGGGTATTCAAATTTGTTCAAACGAAGGGTCATAATCTCTTTTAAGGGTATATAATTAGGAATTATTTAAAAGATAATGGCACCTTTGGCAAATCTTCTTCTAAAGAACCAATGGACCTGGAAAAATGAAACTTATATGGAAGTATCTTCAAGGAGTTTAGATTCAAGTTTATTAAAATCATGACCCCCGGAAAAGGGTGGAGTCCCAATAGACGACTTAAGTTTTACATAGGAATACATAGGATGTTCTTTAAAACTCTTTCATAAGAACAGCAAAGCCATGACTGGTCATATTTATATGGAAGCATCTCAGGTAGTGTGGATTCAAGTTTGTTCAAATTGTAATCTCCGGGAGTAGGTGGGAGGGGTAATAAGGGATAAAATTTTTACATAGAAATATATAGGAACACATCATTAAAATCTTCTTAAGAACAGGAAAACTATGATTTGTTATATTTATATGGAAGTATCTTCAGTTGTTGTAGATTTAAATTTGTTCACATCATGACCCCCTAGGGTAGGGTGGGGCCACAATGGAGGATTACAGTTTTTCAAAGGAATACATATTAGGAAAATTCTCTAAATATTTTCTTTTGTAGATCACCAAAGCCATGATTGATCATATCTTAATGGAAGCATCCTTAAGTTGTTTTGATTCAAGTTTTTTTTCAAGTAAAGACAACAGGGATAGAGTAGAGCCACAACGGGGAATCAAAGTTTTCGATAGTAATTTATAGGACAAATCTTTTCCTGAAGAACAAAATAATAAAAATTGTCGTGCTATATTTCAAACCTGATAAGCAAAAAAAAAAAAACAATGAAAGTTTTCAACCTCAAATGAAAGACATTAATAAGTGAAGTTTGCAGTGAAGGAAATTTCACGTCTTACTGCAAGTCGGCGAGTAACACAGTCAGATTTGTATAAGCTTTTGTCATACATAAACATTTTCAAACAAAGAAAGCGTATGAAACTTACCAATGGGCTTTGACAGCCCGTGTCGTATAAGATTTCACCATTGATTCCTGAATATCTCTGTGTGAAGCAAACCTGCAAATGAGAAAGAGAGCAATGTTACTAAAACAAAGGAGTATACATGTAGATGAGATGATATGATCACTTCTCTTATTGATCACACTCTGTCAACATCAGTTACCAATTATTCCAGCTAATAAATTCGTTATATTCTAAACGTATAATTCAATAATTTAATTTGTTATCATAAAGGGTTTGACAGTGGATTTCAGTCATTGTAAAGTTTACATGTATTCCTTTAATATACATAGGTTACTGCGACCCACATTGAAAGTGTAATTCGTGTTTTATTCCAATGGCATAAAATGCCCACTAATGAAATCCTAACAAAATTTGCCCTAGTAAGATTACTCTATTCAGAAATTGTAACACTGATAAGAACTATCAGCATATGTAATGGGGTGGGGGTATTCATATACATTTAGTATGAATAATGTATAATTATATGAAATTTAAAGAAAGGATCAAATTCTTTGTTTTACCTTTCCATCTTCACACTTCTGTATAGAATGACAGTGTCTAGGGGAGACAACTCCGGTACAACTTAAACAGTAGAGTGCATCTACATAAACATATAATTCTCAGTCATGTAATTTGAATTAATAATTTTTTTTTTTTTACAATATATCTGCCATAGAAGCTGCAAGTAACGAATTTGCAATGAAACAGCATATTTCAATTACAGAATATTGATTTGATAATTGTGTACATACCAATATTCCCTATTATAGTTGCAAGAATAACTATAAAGAAAACGGAAAAGTATTTTGTACATGTAAGAAGTAAATAAAACCAAAGCACATAAATTTTAATACTCTGCAAAAACATACCTAAACTAAGCAGCATTGTTTCACTTGTATACGTGGTGTTTCTATATCAAGATAACGAATGTTTAACCTAAAAAGGTCTGACCTCTAGTTCTGATATGTTCTGATAATACAGCTCAACGCACTTTTTAAACTCCCCTGGTTTTTCGCACAAATTAAGGTCACATTCTTCTTGCAAAAAAACTTCAAATTATCGAGCTTCCATACGAGACATAACACTTATATCATTAAATATTTCATGTTAAAGATGCATAGCCTCTACAATCAAATCTGAAGTTTTTAAACTCGATGTTTTAAAAGGGGAAATCAATGTGTTTATTACTTGCACGATGCTACATGGGTATAAGTCTACTAAAGGTATTCACAAATTAATAAATCGAGTATTCCTTGATGCTATTTAGTTGAAATGCTCAAACTGACTTCTTACAGATGAGTATTTTTCTAGTATTACTAAGTGCTTTGCAGATTTTCCCTACTTGTCTTGGTTTGTGACGCCACCTTAGCACACCCTTTCTCCGTGTATATTTCTATGCATGGGTATACACGGAAATGGTATACAAATCAATTTCACTGTGGGCTTACTCGAAAAGTTAAGCAAATATAAATATTTGATAATATTGAACAATAATTTATTTTGAAACATAAAATATTTGGAGATAACGAACAATATTCAAGCTCAAAAAATCCATTTAACAATACAAATTATGTTCATATTTTTTTTTGACCTTCAAATTAATTGATTTAAAGTGTATGAAAAAAATATCATTTTGCATGAAAAGTACCAACCCGACAAAATCTTATACTGGAACCATATAAGCGACCCCAAGATGATGTCGGAGAAGGGCTTGTGTACTATAGTTAACATTCGCTGACATCATGATTTGAGGATTTAGTGAAAAAAAGTTTTGAGTAGCGTAAATTCGTAGTTAAGAATTACCTTTTAATTTTTTCTCTCTATCCGCATGCTTCATTCACACAATTTTAAGAGTAGGTATATATTTTTTTAAAAAATTACAAACAGTTGAAAATTCTAAAATTTATTATAATTGTTTACTTACAAAAGTGTATAAATCAATGTTAAAATCATAAAGTTTACATGGTATACGCATGTAACAACAAAATATTTGGATTTCCAAATACCGTCCCCATTGTAAGACTTCAGACTCGATAGACAAATTAAAAATCAGATTGATATCAGATAATGAAACAGATTAAAAAACAATAAATTGAAATAGACTTTTATTCTATCAACTTTCAGGGAAAGGTTTACGAGTATTTTAAATACCAAGTCTTTATCTTTTAAGCGCACAAACTGTCTATGTAAAAGAAAGTCGTAATGAGCCTTTTAAAGATTTCTCAAAACTTACGATGAACAGTTGATTTTGTGGACCAACTCAACGATAAAATTCACAGAAAGTGGTGTTTTACCAAAGTATATTGTCCCATGCGCGGTATTACTGGGCCAATAGCATTTGATATCGGTATTTGTTCTAGACATGGCTAAAAAAAAGAATCGTTGACCAATAATTACGTCCCCCGTTAAATCGTTGATGCAATGTTTAGCGAATTGAGTGGGTGGCTTAAGCTACATCAACTTGCATGACAAAATATTGGTTTGAAGAAACACGACCTGGGGGTCGTAACATAAAGGCTACTTAAGTCTAAGACCGTGCTTAAGTAGGACTTAAGTACAGTCTAAAACGTAAGACCGTAACTAGAAGCGTGCTAAGGTTTGGTAATCTTAGCAGAACTTAGGCGGCCGGTAGAGGTGACTTAAGTATATCTTAACTTTCATGTACATATATTTAGAATTATTTAATGTTGACTTTCGATGTTAAAATATTCCTCTGTTCATATTATGCATTAAAGAAAATAATTATCTCTATTTGACGCTGATTTAAGAATTTTACTTTTTCGTTGGGGGGGGGGGGGGGGGGGGGGGGGGGGGGGTTGATCACTGATTCCAGTATCACTCCCAACAGAGCATACATGTAAATACAAAATTTAATTTTAGGGATACAATGAAACGCATTGAAGTGGTAAAATTTTTCATTTGGATGAAACGTTCTGAGTCATGCTTTGACCGTCAATTATAACATAACGACACGCCCATTTCTTTAGAAACGAAAAAGAAATATTCGTCGTAATGTTTTAGGGCACCCCACTTTCCGCGACAAACAACATGAGTTACACTAAATTGAAGATTTTTAAATTAAAAAAAAACTATATAGAGTCCCCGCTTTTGTAAAACACGCGTTGTAACGAATTTGTACATAATTATGATTTTATCATGTTTATTGGAGTTAGCATACCACATGTATCGGTCAAACACGTGCTTACTCGGTGCTTATGCAGACCGTCAATTTGATTGGCTACTATATTTATGGAATACATGTTCTACAGGTATTCGATTGAATCATTTTGACCGATTTTTCATTTCTAAAGAAATGGGCGTGTCTTAAGATGGCTCAAAACGTTCCATCCAAACGGAAAATTTTACCACTTCAATGCGCTTCATTGTACGTCTGAAATTAGTGGGACCTCGGTTATAGAAGTAAATTGAACACAGTAATAAACCATGGATCTCTATGTACGTTTTGAAAAAATGAGTTGAAATGATTTGTTAAAAACAGAAAAGAAAGAGGATGATGACAGTAATAATAATATTATAAAAAAAAGTATCTGTAGAACGCGACAAGTGCGGATTTAGACAGGGCTCACTACAGTTCGAGAGAGAGAGAGAGAATTGCTGATAAGTGGAGACATACGGAAAAATATCCCGATTTCTTTTTTGTATCCTTGATTTAATTGCAAATGAGTATATCATAAAACTTCTGCAGTTTTTGCTTCTGACATGCATGGCCTGATACATAGCGGGGATTCAACATGTATTGAACTCTTTAGAGTTTCAAATTTAAGTAGATAGACGGTCGATTATCTTTTCTTGTCTGCGATAATAACAGGGTAAGTGAATATTTGTCAAAACAAAAGAGTTACAAAAGGAAAACTGAAAACATCTCAGGTGATAAAATAATTGCCGTAAATTTACAATGAACCACAACTCGCCACTTTCTGACCGTGCGGTATTTGCTTCCAAACATTCCGATTAATTCATAACATAATTAAAAATTTTAATACGAAATCTAATCTAACATAACTTAAACCAATAGGCAAGGACGTCAACTTCAATATGTAATGAATTAAAACCCTAAATGAATCACTTTTAGCAATATATCTATATAAAATCAAAAAACATAGGTTGGCTCATATGAAATATTTTAAACATAAGTTTGACTTAGCTAAGACCTAGCTTAGTTCGCTTTATGTTACGGTTTAAGACATACTTAAGTAGTACTTAGACAAGTCCTAAGATTGTGCCTAAAACGTACTTACGACCCTACTTAAGTCAAAATCTTAGCAAGCTTTATGTTACGAGCCCCTGAACAATAAATACTGCAGAATGATTCCCGTCCGTATTCCACTAGCTATAAGATAATATATTTAGAAAACAGAATGATGTTTTTGAGATCGGTTCTGTGTAAATGTGAGCTGACTTTTTTTCTTTTTATTTTTGTATGTAAAGTGAATTCGTAAAATCACGTATAGTAAGTGACCGGTCAATATGCTCGCTACTTACGGCCACTGAGTGGTGGTATTTTGTTGTAACGTTGTTAACCTTCACAACGGATCTAGTTTGTAACGAGAAAATGTAGTTCTAGGTCTTCGATAATGCAGAATTGAACAAATATTAGTATAAGATAAAATGCATATGTACACTTCCCAGATGACAAAACAGCTACAACGCTGTCTTTGTTTATAAGATTTATTATTTTAGTTTTATTTTAGAGGAACTAAGATTTATTTATGCAAGTGGTAATCTAACTTACACCCACAGCTCCCTTTCTAAGGAGGAAGTTCTGCAAAACGATATGTCAGTTTTTTTTATATATTCTTTTTATACACGTGAAACGGTTAATTTTTTATTAGATAGTTCTCAGAACTTTTGATATACTTCTCGTTTATTGTCAGTCATATTCCCAACAATGAAAATGAATTTGAATTACAATATAATATACTGTATTTCAAAACTCCACAAAAATCCTTACAAAGATGCATAGCAGGTTCAAATAAGTATTCTATCAAGTCTATTCTCTTTACTACTCTATAAAATATTTAAAACTGGGAAGGGGAAATTTCAAAAGTACTACCGGTATACAGCAGTATTTCGAGAAGTGTTGTCAATCAAATATGAATACTTAAAAACGACAAAGAACTTTGAGTTTTATAAAATTAAAATTAATTTTTTACCAAAATCATTTAAATTAAAATGTACTTTTCCAAATTTTATGCGACTTTTTTTTAATGATAAATCTATATCAAGGCTTTTCGACATAATAGACATCTGCTACTCGTAAATATACTAACCTTGTAATTAGACATTAAATTTTGCAAAATATTTTGTTAAATACACACAAGTACTCTGATATGGAGAGGACTTACATAGGCAGTGCCTTTATTCATAATGAAATATTGTTTAAATCTTAAAATTTACTCTGAAATTGATAAGTGACAGTATGTATGTATTTATTTGGTAATCTGACCTTGTGATCATGAAACATCGTAAGCTTAAGTCAAAAATCTGTATTTCAATAAAAAAAAAATAAAAAATAGGCAGTCCAGAATGAAAATGTTTTTAACTTTGCCCAAAGGACTCCTTTTTTGTGCACTTTTAGAGATTCGGCTCACAATTCATAAAAATTTTATAGATTATTTAAATTTTGACTTAAGTCTAAGACTGATTCATGATCCCGGGGCCAGGTATTCCAACACTATGTCGGAATTGCCATGTGTGCCAATTACGCCACGGTATTAACAGACCTATTTCTATATTCATATAAAACACATGCAGAACTTATTAAAAAACTTCTATACGAGAAGAAGAAAACACTTAGTGTGACTTTCAACTCAACAGTTTGATCTATCGACGATATATTATAATTAAATACTAGTTATTTTGCTTTTTATGTCAAGTTGACATATCCCGGTGAGATTGAAATAAAAGATACAATAGAAAAGAGACTGACTTAAATGGTAATCTTACATCAAAG